GATCTTGGATGTTGATTCGACTTCCGTTGTAAACACGCCAAGGGTATTAAGCGGCTCCTTTATGCCATATGCCTTTATTATTGTGGTATCCCGTTTCAATGGTGGAGGTTTCTTGAGCGCTTTGAAGTCTTGCTCATCCAAGAGGTTTACGCTGGCACCCGAGTCGATGAGCGCGGTGATTGCAGTTCCATGGACAATGACGCTCACGGAGGGTAGCTCCTTATACACAGAGTGAACAGGATGGCCTTTGTGAAGGGCGAAGACATAGCTGTCGTCGGAATCATCAGAGAAATCGTGTTGCATGGCCAATGGAGAACAATGGTCACAATGAGGCGTCGTATAAACATGTTGCACAAGCTGCTGTTGTGGTTTTGACCTGCAAACACGAGAAAAGTGATTCAGCTTGCCACAGTTGCCACACTACTTGCTTTTGGCAGGGCAGTGAGAAGTGTGGGGATATTTATCGCCACAGAAATAACACGTCTTGCCAGTTTGCGTGCATGTCCAATGACCATTTCTTGGATTGTTGCTGTGTTCATGCATCTGTTTTGCGTGTATACGGTTCACCGACAACGCTTCGAGCGGCTGCTCGATGTCTGCGGCGTGTTGGTTGGCCAGTTCCATGGCTCTGCCTGAGCTCAGGAGATTCGAGAGCGACCATTCAGGGTGTTGTAGGGCACTATGGTGAAGTTTGTGAGAAGTGCACGCTTGGATGATTTGGGTCTTGACTTCTTTGTCATTGTCTGTGAAGCTACACGGCATCGCCAGCTGTTGTAGCCTTGTATGTAACGTGTCGAGGGTTTCATTTGGCTGCTGTTTGGCTTGACGAAAACAGTAAATCGAGAATTCCGAATTGGCCGTAGGAGTGAAATATGCGTTTAGAGCATCAATAGCTGCCTGATAATTGTTTTCCTCCCCAGTGTCTGGCAGAGTTTCAAAGATGTCGTTAATCTCCTCACCAGTATAGTGAAGAAGCAGAGCTCGTTTCCTCTTCAGATCGTCTTTCATGTTGAGCCCGATCATCATGTTTTCAAACCGCCGAAGCCATTTTTTCCAGCGGACAACGGTGGAGGAGGCGTTGCTGTGGACATCAAATGGTGGGAATGTTGGCAGGGATACTGCCATGTTGAAACCAGAAAACGTTTGCCAGTAGTGAGAAGGTGCGGCGGTGAATGAAATGCCGTGAATTGGTTCCATAAAATCCTCGAATCCTCGTCGCCATGTATACCAGCATTGTTGTACATGTAGAATTGTACACTAGGATTGTTGTACGTCTTACTTGGAGCATGTGGTGATAAGACTGATACTTTATTCAATGATATCACATGTATTAGATTACACTTCCGGTGACGTAAGTCATGATCACTACAAATTGGTGATTGAGATTGTCAATCGCTGTGGTTGAGATTATCAGGTGCAGATTAAAAGTGATGGTTGTTATGGTCTAAAAAGCGATTGAATACCAAGACTGACGATTGCTATGGTTGAAAAAAAGATTGGTGTCTGAAAACGATCGTCCAGAGATTGACGATCCAGAACACCTACCACTATGATCGAGAAATCGAATTGCAGCTGAGAAATGGAAAGGCCTGGTAATGAGAGAGCTATAGTTCACATATTTTAACATGTAGAAGTATTCCAAGAACTTACTTTATGATCTAAGATGGCAGCTGATGATCGAAGTAGTCAAGATACAGGATAACCAAAGAACAAATCGAGATTCCTTCTTCTAGTACACTCACAAGCTACATGTCCAGAGCTACCACAAGTGAAACAATCGTCATATCCCCCTCCTCCACACTCTTCACAACTGTGACAATCCTAACTTGGGTTCTTTGGCTGGTATCCACCTCCATGGCCTCTGTAGTGGGGTCGGCCCCAGTTTGGTTTTGCCACCTGATCGCATTGGGCATTGACTCTACCTTTGAGGTCATGAATTTCTGATTTCATCTGAACTTGGATTCCTGGCTCTCTGTTCTCCTCCCTCCTTGAGGACTTCGCAAACATTCACTTTGGACCTTTTTTGGTGTTCAGTTACCAATTTTGTGGTTCACTCATCTTGCTGTGAAGCTGATTTATTAACTTGTTTCATAATTTCCTCAGGGTACAAGGGGTTGTTCTTAAGTTGCTAACATATCATCATGAAGACTAGTTTTGAAGGAATTTTCAAATGTTCTCAGAATTGGTGAAAGGTCATAATTAAACTCACAATCCAATTCTTGACTGGCCAAATTTACCTTGTTACGCAGGTCCAAAATAAGAATTAGGAATTGCTGTGCTTTGTTGGCATATGGTTGCAAGCTGTTGGTACACCTCAGATGCAGCTTATTCCCAGTAGTAGGCATGGAGAATTCTCCATAATTTTGCAAGGGAGAGGTCACTTAAGGTCACTTAATTTCACTTTCTCTATAACCACGTTTAAGACCAGAGTCTATCTGATGTATTAAAGACACATAAGTCGATTTTTCCATCTGCCAATCTGCCCTGAAAGTTTATATTCTCGGTGCAGAGAATGTTTTCACCATTTGAACCAAAATATACTCCGCCCCTTGTTTGACTTTTTCTTTTTTTAATTTTCCCTGGGTGTCCATTTGTTTGCTCTCTACTCCAGCAGCTGTTTTTGGCCTTGTCTCTTCAGTTTGTTTGAGAAGAGGTAAAGCTCCTTCTACTTATGTGAGTATTTGTTAAAGACATGTGGGTGCCTGATAATTTACCTTCTGCATTTTAGATTTCCCTGTTACATCGTCCTCAATTCCTAATAATTCTATCATTTTGACTAGACTGCCCTCATCTTGATCAAACAGTTGTGCTTCCACTTGAAGTTGTAATTGCTCCATAGTATCAAAACACACCATACCATGCAGCAATCTCCAAAACACAAACGTGTAGTTCAAAGTGTAGATACATAAACAGAACGAGTCAATCTAGTCATCTCATTGACTCCACAGCGGAGCTATCTTAGTGCCACTATAATTCAACTGCTGTACTCTTTTTTTTTTTCCACATTTTTTTATTGCCATTTTGAAAATAAAAAAGTGTTTACAAGACTCTCAGTATACTCTATTTTCATTTGTAAGCTATTATTAATTATAAATTACATTTATATTTTTAAACAATTCTATAGTTATATTTGTAAACTATTATTTATTATAAATAAGTGCCATCTATATAATAACCACTTCGCCTGAAATTGTTTCTGCGTATTGTTTTTAACAGCAATGTATTTCTCAGTTCTATATTTGACGTCTACTTGTTTTAAGAAAACTTCACATTCTGGAATTTTATCTTGTCTTTGACTTTGCCATATATGCAATTTTGCAAGAGTCATAAGATAATTCAATAACTCACATTTTTCTAATTTACCGATATATACATCTCGCGACGTGAATTTTTCCCTTTTACCTGAAAGTACAAACCAGAAGTTTTCAAAGTTTTCCCAAAAGAGAAGAGTAAAAGGACATTCGTAGAATAAGTGATGGTTTCTGTTTCCACTTTGCAGAAAGTACAGGTATCGTGTAGAACATAACCTATCTTAGCTAGTCGCTTATTAGTAAAAACGATATCATCCAACAGTTTTAACTGAAAGCCTCTAATAAAGGTTTCTGATGAAACTGACAGCAAATTGAGAAACACCTTTGACACAGTAATATCATCTAAGTCAAAGTCATTTTTCAATTTAGTGAAGCCCCTTGATACTATTCCCTTTTTTGCAATGAGGAATTCGTAAAATTGTTTACTTTTACATAGCACAGGATCAAACACTTTTCCCCGCAGCAAAATTCTAATAGACCAGTTTTTCTGCTATTGTCATCCAAAAATTTCAAGTGGCCAGGAATTGCACTTCGAATCCCTGCCCACGTTAAAAAGTTTGATTGTTTCAATCCTGCATTTGTTGCGATATTATATGACTCTAAACTTCCCTTATCGAATTGCATCTGATTAGTTAATAGGATTCCTGCTTTAACATAATTATGGTAGTAAATGCTCTTTCCATCTATTTTAATAAGCTTATTGTTCCAAATTATATTTTCGGCAGTAAGGGGCAAAGTAAAGAAAGCATTTCTAAAATCATCCCACCACTGAAGGAGTTCACTATAAAATAATGAATTAATATTATAATCCCTCATATTATAATTACAGCTAACAAAGAAAGTCCCACCATAATCTTCCAACAAGTAATCCAAAAACGCCTTCCATGGAATAGGCCTTATTCGTATTCCCGGACTGGTCTGGGACGAGTGTTTTGTTTCGCGCGAAAGCGAGGCTCATGCGGGGGAAAATTAAAAATACCCTTTGACACAGCTGGAAAAATACGGAGAAAGTCACTTTGGTTCGCAGTATTTGACGGCAAAATCATGGTTAAACATAACTGCTGTGCATATGGCTGCTCCAACAGCACTGAAAAACAAAAAAACCATCTGAAATATCCAGAACTCAAAGGAATAACGTTTCACACTTTTCCTATCGGCGACCGAAAGAAGACTTACGCACCCGGAATGAATGAAAACGAGAGAAGAAAAAGGTGGATAGCTGCTTGTCGTTTAAGCAGTTTAAATGTCACAAGACATACAAGAATTTGTTCAGCACACTTCGAAGGTGGTTTAGGACCCTCAAAGCTTAATCCTGTCCCAACAATTTTCAGTTTCCCGACTCATTTGCAGCCCAAAACCCGACGGAAGCGAACAGATCCAGAGGAAAGGAGACGAGGAGCTTTGAGCTGCATACAAAACAAAACCAAGACTGCACCAAGGAGACAAGCAGGTAAAACTGACAAAAACAAGGAAAACCCGGAACCATTGGGCCTGTCATCACAACTGCAGGAAACTGCGTGCTCGAGCGACATGGATTTTATTTTTTCTGAAGAGTGTGAGATTAAAACTGGTTATCAATCCTGTATCAATATTCAATCCTGCATTTGTTGCGATATTATATGACTCTAAACTTCCCTTATCGAATTGCATCTGATTAGTTAATAGGATTCCTGCTGAACAGACACCTGATCCAAGATCCCTTGCAGACAAGTGTATCCAAACCGACCTTACCTGTGAAGATATCGACTGCATGGAAGCAGCCAAAGCTAAACTGGAAAATAAACCAGAACTGAAGAGAGAAATGTTTATAGACGACGTCCTAAAAAGCAACAAGTCCGTGTGTTTCTACACTGGATTGCCCTCCTATGCCTGTCTTATGATGTTGTTTCCCTTTCTGAAACCATTTGCAAATGCAATGAAATATTGGGACAACAAGAAAAAGGGACAGAGGGAAACGTATCAGGTATCTTAATATTATTACACAGCAGTCTTGTTAATATTTCCTTTCATTTGTTTTGATGAACATTATGGCATAAAATGTTTACACAGCAGTCTTGTTAATATTTCCTTTCATTTGTTTTGATGAACATTATGGCATAAAATGTTTCATGTTTGGTATAAATAGCAATATAGACCCTATGCAAAAATGGGTACCTTTGAATTTTTTTGTTCGTATTCAAAATAGCCTCACTAACCTCGATCGGGATAACATATTCTTTACAAATTTTGTCTCAAAAACGACGTTAGCGAGGCTTTTTTAAATATGAACAAAATGATAATATATGCATAGGGTCTATAACATGATATATTATGTTATTATGATTTCCAACTATGTGATAATTGCCTAAACATTTTGCTTCAGCAACTCAACTGCACGTTTTTACTTTTATTACAGGAAGATGAACATGTTAACAAGCCGGGACCAAAGAGGCAGATGCCATTATTTTCTGAATTTTTAATGGTTCTTATAAGACTCAGGCTTGGACTGTTACAGAGTCACCTGGCAGACATTTTTGCAATTTCACAAAGTTCAGTTTCCAAGATTTTTACAACTTGGATTAATCTTTTGTATCATGTATTTAAGGAAGTTCTTATAATATGGCCTGCAAAGGTTCAAATTCAAAAGCACATGCCTAAGAGCTTTAGTAGGTATCCTCGGACCCGTGTAATTATTGACTGTACAGAGTTTTTTATAGAGAAGTCCACTCAACCTTCAGCTCAGAAAATTACTTGGAGTGATTACAAGTCACATAACACTTTCAAACTCTTGGTTGGTATTTCACCCACTGGAGCCTTCACATTTGTCTCTAAACTTTGGTCTGGTGGGGTCTCTGACCGAAATATAACTCAGAAATCTGGACTGATAGACAAGCTGGAACCTCTAGATGATGTGATGGCTGATAGAGGATTCAATATTAGAGATATGGTCACAAAGAAAAAGGCCACATTAAACATTCCCCCCTTTGCAAAGGGGAAGTCCCTTTCAACAAAGGCATGTACAAAAACCAGGAGAATAGCTGCAGTTCGCATACATGTGGAAAGAGCAATCCAGCGGCTCAAGTGTTTCCGAATTTTACGTGGTGTGATACCTATCACCCTTGCTGCAGTTGCTGATCAGACTGTGTTTGTATGTGCAGCACTGTGTAACTTAATGAAGCCTCTTGTTTCAAAGTAAATGTCTAAATAATTTTCTTATGTCTGTATAAATCATATGATTTTTGATCGAACTAAAAAAAAACGATGAGCATGTAACCCCTTACAGTAGCTACTATACTAGGTATAAATGGAATAGTTATGCATTTACATAGGCTCAATGTCACGAAAGGTTCATATTTGGAAGTTGAGTTTCTACATTATATGTATATTTATTTATCTGTACTATATAACACTGTACGGTTCTGACCATATTTAACCTTTGGAAAAGCTAGTTCTGGTAAAATGACCGAGTCAAAAAATGAATCCAGCTTAACTAGCACTGGAGACCAAAACTCTTGATCAAACAACACTTTCTCAACATAAATACCACCATCCCTGCCACAAGCAACAAATATGCCCCAGGGATACGTTGTTGCAAACATTTGTTGATGTAGTTGATAAAAGTATTTATGATTTCTATTAAGGGCTATACCATTGCTTCTTTTTATACAAATATGCTGTTTCAGTAAAATATCTTCAAGGGTTTCCCCTGACTTCACCTGAAGAAATTTCATCTCAACCACACCTGGGCTAGACTCAGACTGATCATATATTATTCTATCTGGAGAGGCACCAATATGTCCATGGGTCTTGCTAATGACAAATCCACACTTTTCGACTTTTATATCAGAATGTCCATTCTGTTTCATGTATTTTATTAGTGCCTGTTCAATTTCATCCTCCTTTGCCAAGCCCTCCTTCATGGCAGCTGTTAAAGGCACTTGGTTGTAACTCAAAACTTCCTTTAAAGCTTTAGTTGGAGATGTGGTTAATTTCAAGCTTGCAATACGTTTACAATGAGAAGCGGTGATTCTTCCTGTTCTGTACTGAAACCAGTCAATGGCATCACTCTGCAGTTTTGTCTTTTTTTCCACTGCATCAATTTCATCATCTGTAAACTGAAGTTTTCTTTTTATTGCCTTGCCCCTTTCTTTAATCTCATCCAGACTGGGTGGCAAAGGTTTCATTGGTGATAAAGAATCTAATGTAAATGTAGTAACAATTGAATTTTCCTCTCTTATGTCATTTACATTTTCTGAATCAAGTTGAGGATGTTGACCATTACATGTGTCTGGGTCAGGTAACAGATGCAGTAATACAGCTGAAGGAACAGTTTCAGCAACAAGCTTTCTAAAATTCTCAGCCAAATTTACATTCGTATCATATGAAGTTCTGGGGTCATAAGTATCACACCTTGGTTTTAGTCGCTTCTTTTTCTCTTTGTTCAGTGTGGGTTTTGTAAAATCCATGGCTGATCCTTTTGTCATGCCCTCATGAGTCCTCTTCCGTTGTTTCCAAGTGCACTTTCTCCCTGTGCAAGTTATTACAACATTTTCTCTCAGTGTAGCTTCAAGGTCAATAAGCGAGGCACCAATGTGCCGGCAAGCACCATCAGCCCTGATCAAGAAATTAGGAATTAAGAAAAGTTTCAACAGATATATTGTGATGACCAGAGTCAAAGTTTTGAATACTAGATAAAAGGAAATTATTCTGAAAGCCATAGAGATCACATACACTTGGGCATAGTATAAAGATGTCTTCAACAATTTGGAAACGAAGTACAAAATTTCGCAAAGCTGCAAATTATTATTTTCATTAACACTTCAACATTGTGTCAGTTGAACAGATCAATCTGGATTTATCATTTAACACATACATAAATCAAATTCATTTTTTAAGATGGCCAAATATTAGCCGAGGCAGCAGAATACACACCCTCCTATACAAGGGCAATGCGCTGTGTAAACTGATCCATCTGACTGAATTATTATCCATCCATCGTAAGTTGGTTTCTGTCCGACTTGCGTTTTCTCTCGTTCCGTTGGCTTTACTCCAAATTTAACGTAGTGGTATCCATTGAACAAGTTCTTGTTCTTCATCAATTTTAACACATGGCCATCCCAGAACAGGCGGTAGCCTTCGAACGACTTATATGCCTTGAGAGACTCGTGGTCATAACCCTCCTTATTGATTAAGTAAGCGTACATATCACCGTATGTGAAGTTCGGAAAATCAGAAAAGTCGGAAGTCCAGTCAGAGTGTAACGTGTTAGGACAGGGGAGCGAACCTTCTTTCGTCTGCAACTTGTTGACTATCACATCCTCCGGTTTCTCCCAATCGTCTATCGGTTCCAGTGAAAGATCGCGAGCCTTCTCCACCAATTCTACTAGTTCCTCCTTTCTCTTTTGCGAAACAGTTATTCCACGGCTCTGTAAATACGATTTCAACTCAGGAACTTTCCATTTTTGAACTTCACTCTCTGCCCCTCCTACGAAAGCCATATTGAAATCACAGATTCCCCCGCATGAGCCTCGACATCGTGCACTCGCCCAAGGCCGTCCGGGAATACGAATAAGGCCTATTAAGACTGTCGTTTTCAGAACTAAAGCTTATTATTATAGATGAAATTTCTATGGTTGGGAACATTACTTTGCTTCACATACATCAAAGACTACAACAAGTTTTTGGCACAGGTAACTTGCAATTGTTTGCTGGCATAAGTATCATTGCTGTAGGTGATCTGTATCAGCTGCCACCAATACGAAGGAAACTGGTTTTTCAAAACTACAAAAATGACACTCATAATCTGTATCACCCATGGCAAGTTTTCACAATGATAGAACTAACTGAAATTATGAGACAAAAAGATGATCAGCCATTTACTGAGCTATTAAACAGAATTAGGACTGGTACTCACACTGAAGAAGATGTCAAGTGCATTAATTCAAGATCAGTCAGTCCATCAGACGATAATTACCCTTCAGATGCACTTCACATTTGGGCTGAAAATAACCCTGTTTCTGAACACAACAACAAACAACTAGACCAAATTTCAAAACCTTTGTTTGTACTCACAGCTGTAGATCAGTATCCACCTAACGTCACAAAACAAGACATTGATAGGTTGTTATGTAGAGGGAGATCTGAAACAGGCGGACTTGATTTTGAAATCCACATTAAAGAAGGTGCAAGAGTAATGCTTACAACTAACATCGATATTGCAGATAGACTTATAAATGGTCAGATAGGAAGTGTTGCAAAAATTATTGTTAATCAAGATAATCAAAAACCAACAGTTATCTTTGTAAAATTTGATGACCATAATGCTGGGAATATTTCAATACAAAAATGCAGAAATCTGTTTGCTAGACAAAACAGAGCAGTACCCATTCAACCAGTTGTAACAAAAATCAAAGTCAGGCCAGGTAAACCATCCTCTCCAGAAATACAAAGGATACAGTTTCCCATCACACTGGCATGGGCATGCACTGTGCACAAAGTGCAAGGTTTGACACTTGATAAAGTTGTTATTAGTTTTAACTTGAATAGACAAAGAAGTTTTAACTATGGACAAGTTTATGTTGCATTAAGTCGTTCAACTTCCTTACAAGGACTTTACATTCTGGGGCAAATAGATAGTAAAAATGTAAGAGCAGACTCTAGAGTCCATGATGAATATGAAAGATTGCGAAATAATTCATCAAAAAGTATGCAGCAAACAAATAAACCAATCCAAACTATTCAGGAAAATAGCTCAAATTTAACTTTATCCCTTCTAAATATACGATCTCTTAGAAAACACAGTATTGACATCAAGCTTGATACAAATATTTTCAGTAGTGATATTATAGCTCTGACAGAAACACAACTTCTTCCTCAAGACACAGACCACAATATTAGAAATGACTTGAATCCCTTTACACTGTACAGGCAAGATCATATTTCTGACAAATACTCAAGTTTAGTACTCTGTACCAAAAATAACATTGAAATTACAGAACAAGAGTATTTCTCTTCAGTAAATGCACTAAAAATTTGTTGCTACCAATACTTCTATCCATCAACAGCTCTCCTTTCTTCTATTATATAGACAACACAGCTCTAATGTTTTACAATTTATAAACTCTATGGAATATCTACTTAGGAGTAATCCTATTGACCTCGTACTTGGAGACTTCAACATAAATTACTTCAATGAGAAAGAAAATAGGCCACTTGAATGCTTGATGCACTCTTTAAACTATGAACAAATTGTACAAACTCCCACATTTATTTCTGCAGGAACATTGTTAGACCATATTTACATGAAGCCAACAGCTTTTGATATAATCCACAATGATGTAATTAGTGTTTATTATTCAGACCATGATGCAGTTAAAGTATCATTGCAATTGTAACTTAAAATAATTTATTATAATTAAAACCACGATATTGTTGTTTTACTTTAATTTTGTATTTAAGCTGATTTTCCAAATCACCAGATTACAATGATACACATCAACTGCGATGCCTAGATTGCCAATTATGGGGAAACTACTGAACTCAACTGATATTGTAACAAAGCTGTTCCAAACAAAAATACTATAAATCTCAAGAATGATATAAATATGTTGGGAATAGGCCATTATATTTTCCACCGGGGAGAGTTTAGGCAATAACCCCAAATCCCCCCCCCCCCCCAAAAAAAACCAAACAAAAAAAAAACTGATAGTGTTCCCTTCAAATCTAAAATGTTATTGTTGAGCAATTTTTAAAGTTATTACTACTTAAAGTGGTTGTAACAAACACCCTGCTAAATATGATACAGCAGCAAAAACAAGCACCAATCTACAATTCAATATGGTCTATTCCTAATGGTGATTATATAACACTTCCATTTAATTGTGACATACTGTAGAAATATTTCGTGTTAAATACAAAACATTGGGACCCTTAGCACCTTTGTGGTGCTACTATCCTTCAAGTGCCAAAAAGGTGGGTTGTTGCTTTTACTGCATGGCTCTGCCCTACTGGTTAAATTAGCACATTGCACTTTGGATTAAGCAGTCCTGGTTCAAGTGCTACCCAGCTGTTAAATTCTTGGGCAACTACACCTAACACTCATAGTGCCTTCCTTCACCCAGGAGTTAAAATGGATACTACTGGCAACATTATGTAGACAATATCATCTAACTTACCTGTGACAATGATCTTGTTTTCTTTCCTATTTTTCAGATGTCATTAAGCAAACCAGTCACTATCGCTCA